TTCGCGTATTTTTGAAGATCGTCAAATCAGATGAGCAAAAAGTAAGAGTGCGCGCGCGTGGAGGTCGACGGGAAAAATAGATTTTCAAAGAAAGCCGTATATTCATTCGTTGCCATGAAACTCGAGCGAGAGCGTTCGAAATCCTTTTGCTTCTTCGGTTCGTCGAAGAACAAGGGATTTCCTCGAAACTATGTGGCCATGATCCCGGACTTCGTTTCACGCCACGTTCGGCTTCATTCATTCGCGACTCTTACCGAGAATATTGACACTATGTTCTCAGGAATCAGCTCGCGGAAATAAGTTTCCAACAGGGTTGGACAAATTTTATTTGAAATAAAGATGGAGAAGCAACGAATTTGAAACGACGAGTCATTTCTATCAATTTATTATTTTTATTTTCATTAGATATCTGGAAAAAGTTCTCGCCGAAAAGTTCTTGTCGATCACGATTCTAGAGACTTTTCTGATTGACAACGAGCTTTCTAGGAATAAAAAGATTATTACTGCCAACATCTGTTGTGATAAGTTAGAAAGAGCTCAAGAAAAATAATGACAAAGATATCAATTTTTCACTTATTTCTGAATTTGGAGAACCATATGAGAAACAAACAATTCAATAAAGTTTCGAGAGAAGATCAAGGTGTTTTCCGCGAGGAAGTTCATATTTTGATGAATAGATTCGTATTGTTCATTCATTCAAAAAAAAAAAAAGAATGATAAGAATTTTCCTGGATAATAAATATTTGAAAAATAACTTGAGAAAAGTAAGTTCACCTTGGGTCTGAGTCAGATTCAATTATTTGAGGTATTTTGTTGAAGTAAAAAAGTAACAAATAGTTCGAACAGTAGATGAAGTTTACACAATGGGAAGAAAAACTTGAAAATTCGAAAAATTATAAGAAGAGACAGATACAATTTGATAGAGAAATAATTAAATAATTTCGAGTATATCACGTGTTTGTTTAAATAAACTAACAGAGGATTATTTCAAGATAATATTGATGATATGCTGTTTAAATAATTAATTTTAATAAATATTTTATTCGAATAATGTTCATTCCTGAATTTCTAGCAGGGTTGTGCACTTTTTACTTGAAATAAAAATAATAAGTAGAAAAGATAAATGATTAATGCAGCTAAGATAAGAGATAAGTTTATTTGAAAATAAGAGTGACAAATAAATTTATATGTCACACAAATAAATTTCAGGCAATACACGAATTTTTCAATGTTAAATCGTTTTTCTTTTTTTATTTAGAATCAAGAAAATCACTTATTAAAGTGAACAATTTAATTATGAATAGTGTTTCAATGTGGTAGTAGACGAATGTTTCCAAATAAATCACCTTTAAATAAAGAAAAGGACAATTTAAATAAAAAAAAAAAAGTAATATTTCAAAATGATTATTTCTAAATTTCTGAACAGCGCCTGTAATACAATGTTAATTAAGTTATTTTTTTTATATAGAATCAAGAAAAACTGACGACTTAAATACGAACAATGTTTAAAAAAAAGAAGAAAAAAAATCTAAATTTTCTACATAGAACCGAACATTTTTTTTAAGAGGCTTAAATCGTTCTTTTTTTTTTACATAGAACCGCGAAAGCAACTTGTGAACTGGACAATTTCAATACGAATAACATTTTAAAATGTTGACGCACGAATTGTTTGAAAAGCTACAATTTAAAGAGTGTTTATAATACAAGGTTAAGTCATTTTTGTTTTGCAATACATTGTTAAGTTATTTTCCATGTAAAACCAAAAAGGAAAATACTCGCGAATTGGACAAGAATGATGTTTCAAATCAACGCACAAGCTGTTGTGAAAATTTAAAGACAGTTTGGCTTCATTATTTCGGAACGTAGTTTTGCAGCCTGTCGTAGATATACGTGTTGAAACGCAAATGCCGCAGGCGTATAATTAAGCAACTTTATCGTTGCTTTTAATATATTTCTTTGTGCAGCAGTTGCAATGTTATTTTCATTCAATACCGTAGCCATTTCAAAGTGGTGCGGCACGTGTAATGAGTCATCCAAAATTACCGTGAGTAATATCGATCGAAGAAAAAAAAAAAAAAA